TGAACAATGATATGGTTTTTGTACTGCAGTTCATGCTTCTTTCATAGTAGATTCCATCATGAAAAGATGAGTCAAGTGCCCTCTCTTGTATTGACTCCCCATTTGAAATATGACTGACCAAAAACACATGATGCAATATCTAAATCACTTTCAGCACTGCAGACAACCAATAAGTGACATCACTTGCTCAGCCTGTTTTGGGAATCCACAAAATGCAGATGAGAAAGATGCAAACGCATCTTGTACTCCTACAGTCATGCAACATGCTGCAGCTATCCGGTTACTCACTAAAAAATAACAGGAAGCTTTTATATGTAGTGAAATGACACCGCTAGCATGCTGACTTTGCACAAGACTGGAGACATGACAAGCGCATGCAGTCATGGTTCAATGAGCAAAATGCAAGGAAGTGATGAAGTTGCCAGTGCACACAAGGTTCTTAAATAAAAATATTATAAAGTGCCATGCAAGACACCAACAACAACTTTACTTTTCCACCTTTCTCAGCACCCAGCATCTCACACAAGTTGGAGTATGACATTGGTGACTCACGAGTAATACTCGCCTGCCTACAAAATTTGTGAATACAGTGCAGTGTGCATCAGTAATAATACAGCTCTATATTTTTATAATTCCTTAGGGAAAGAAAATTTTGCAAAGCCATATAATGTGAGCCTGTACTGAGCATGAGCGTTAATGACCTGCACGCACCAGCCAATACTGCCAAAATTAATTGCTGATATAATGACGCACAATGGATTGATTATATGCTATAATATCTCAATAGGTTCAAAGTGTTGGAAAGATCATAATGAAGTACCAGCTTGCCTTTGTACACCCCTGCAACATAAGTGCTAGTGCTTCTCTTAGCTTGCCAGTGTTTCTTTGCCATGTTCAAACGCAAACATAAAGGTAGAAACAGGTGTCAATATATCATGTTTTATTGGGAGCCAGTAGACTTAAAGAATGCCAAAACAATGTTCTCTCTCAGAAGTGCAAACTTCGCACGCACACCCGCCATCACATCAAGATCAACGCAAGCTACTGGCACACACTACCAGTGATCACAGACATTTCAAGCCCCCGATTCACACTCTTTTGACCAATAAACGTGATCTCACACCTACACAGTTCGTGGAACTATCAAATTGTTGGTTTTCTTGCAATTTCCACACAGATTTTCGGCCATAACACCGCATTTCAACGTGACGTCCCTTCAAAACATGTCCCAACGGAGGTTCATGGTAAAGCGTCTCAAGAGGTTACACCTGAAGAAGACAATTATTTGTTCAAGATTTAAATTTGTTGTACAATATGTGTGAAATGTGTAGTGAAATATACACCTAAAATTACCAGAATGTTTCCCTGATTTTATAATGCCTTGCCAACTTATAAACCAGTGCAAAGTTCTGTGCTCCGGTACACAAGGCGCCAACCGCGTCGTCCGTAGAAGAAGAAAAAAACGCCAGCAGGGGAAAAAGACAGGTTCGCCGTCGTCTCTTCTCTTTTGTAACTTTCGGTAGAGTGCCCGTTTTTTGGGTGCCGTAATTTTCAGACACTGGAGCTCTTTTTATAACCTTGACATATGGCATAAAAATACGTAAAAATGGCTCGTTCACGACGAGTGCCGCACACCCCGAAAGTGCTCACGCTTACGTTCGCGACACACATTCAGCAGAGAAGTCTTGCTAACAGACAATCATCTTCCGCGCATCGCATCATACGTGCCACATCATCGCCTTTGCAAGTGAACCAGCTGCTATGCTGTTTTGACCATAAGTAGAAAACAGTCTGTAGTATGACCGTGATCGCATGACGTTTCTATGACGTCATTAATGCCGAGGCGACTTTGAAGTAGGCTCCAAATAAACCTCGCACTTTTGCGGGCGTGCAACTCAGGAACGGGAGGGTCTTGGGTCTTAAAAAGGACATAATCGTGAACTGCATCAAAAGGTCCTCAAGATGGCTGTTTCAGTTCAAAACGTCATACAAATGTGGAACATTCCCTTTAAAGGGAATGCACAAACCCTGGACTAATACCTAACTAACAGGAAAGGCCTCGAGCTCGCGTTTGCTTTTGGCGCGATGAAATGTGCGTTTTGATTCTGACAATAATCAACCTTCAATGTAGCATGAGGTACCCGTTAAACGATGTCATCAAGCAAGCACTGGTGAAGATAAGAAGCTGTGCTCATGGTCGCAAGCGTCGTAAGCTCTAGAATGACTAAGAATAGTTTGGTGTTCCATCGCTGACCCCACCGCTCACGTGCCTTTACTAAATACGTGGATGATTCTGTGCATTTTCTGAGCCTGGAGGCCCCGCTGCATTCTCACTCGCCGTAAAAGGAGCAAGGCAGCCGCCTGTGGTGAATGTGATCTTCCTCGCATGCAACGCCCACTCCATCAGCGTGATATTTGCCTTGGATCAGCATTTCTGTCAATGCATGGCAATTTAAATATGCTGACCATAATTGTGTCCTGAATTTGTTGGCATTGGCGCTATCACCTCATCGATAGCTAACGGTACTATCGCAGCCCAACCACAGCTTCCTTCTCATCGGCTCGGCCGGGGTCAAATCAAGTTCAAGACATCTGAGGTATTGGACGCCGGGGCCACGGGCGGCGTCAGGTCATTTGAGGTATCAGACGCCGGGGTCACGGGCGGCGTCAGGTTATTTAAGGTGACGGATGCCAGGGTCAGTTGCGGCGCCAGGTCATTTGAGGTGACGGATGCCATGGTCAGGGGCGGCGCCGGGTCATTTGAGGTGACGGACGTCAGGGTCACGGGCGGTGTCAGGTCATATGAGGTGTCAGACGCCGTGATCACGGGCGGCGTCAGGCACGCGTTTCGGCCGGGCGAACCCCGCTTCGTCGAAGTGCAACACGGGAGGGGCAGTTACTAGATGAGCGCTGACAGCATGTGCCGTGGCTGGCGGCAGCGGTACCTAACGAGGTACGAATGAGCGGAACGAGACATTGTGAGCCGGTCCCGGTTCGTTTTCAATAGCGTGATGGATTGGTGGGGCTCAAACAACAACAGTTCGCGACGCCAAAGGGGAGAGATAAATTGGTCATTGTGGTGGGCGAGCGCTCAGCGAGGGTGCGAAAGGGCTGCCGCGCCGATGCCCGTGCGAGTTAAATGGATCATGTTGCGGCACGGTGGGGATTGGGTACGCTTGGAATGGATTGTGATAAATCTGCTCCATATATTTTTTATTATACTCATTGTTGTATGTATTTATGGTCGTATAAGATAGAACGGCGTTCATTCACTGTTTTGGGGGTCATTATAAGTTTAAAGTTATTATGTTGAGTTAACAACCTTCAGAATGGTATACTGGTTCATAAATTTGGGTGGTACTGGTTAAACGATGTCGTAGTGCTAAACAATTAACTATATAGAAGCACTCAATATTTCGAGCTGTGCTCATCTTCCAGTGACATGCGATTACTTGCGCTGACATGCGCTAACCATACACGTAGTCAGTGCACAGTTGTGTGGCATTATTTATCCCGTCCTGGTGTTGTACCAAGTGTAGCGAACTCTAAAGGTTTCAATCAAAGCTGCTCCCTGTATGGGGGTCTTTTTTCATAGTTGACGTCGACCTTCGCCATCGACCCTACAAAAGTATTCATTTGCCAACAACTCACCAGAGACGGGTGTGTTTTTCCACCGGGGTTTCCCCTCAGGATGCTGACGAGGGCCGGCCCTTACATGGCCTGGCAAGTTGTGAATCATCCCCAGCGAGACACTAGCCCCTCTTCCCCTGTCCCTGATGGCTGGCCGGCTGCTCGCCGGTGACGACAGGCTCATCCAGCGAGAGACGGCGCCGACGGTGGCCCGGGCACGCTACATGACCGCGATCAATTAGCAGCAGCGCGCGGTCCGTATTTGTGCTCTTGCGGCCGCCGGAGCGGGGGGGGGGGGGGGGGGGGGGGTCCGTGACGCCGGTGCCGTATTTGTTCGGTGGCGCGTGTCCGCGACGCTTCCGCACAGCTTTGCTCTTGGTGACGTTTGTTGACCACAAGTCGATTTGTGCGTCAGTTCACTGCCGCAGTTCGCATGTTTGGTGGGGTTGCGTGACATTAGCATTGGGGAGTGGAGCTAGTATGAAGCAGGCTTTCTGTGCGTTCAGTGCATTGTCTGATAATGAACGCATTGAACTTGATGTGATGATTTATAAGATTATGATATGGGAAACATTCATGATATCCATGGGACACATTCTCCATTGGTTTGATATCCATGGAATAAATTCAGTTTTCAAGACGCTTGCTTAGGAGTTGGATTGCCGCTTGAAACCTTATCACTGAAAATAAGTTATCATGTTTTCAAACATCTGTTGTTACCATCCTATCCCACTGTCTTGGCATTTAATGCATTTGAACTAACACGCAAAGTCATTTGTGGAACCTTTCCACCAGAAAACGTTTCCTTCGATCTACCTAAGTCAAGAACTTCCTCCCCTATTCCTTGCTGAATCCCAGGTCGGATTTTCCGCTGATGGATTGCCTGGTCGCGTTGGCGGATAAGTCGACTAGGCGAAGAATGCGCGCTACCTTCGGCTCGGTGGCAGGGCAGACAGCTGACGGGATGATGACGCGCTGCTGACGTCAGCACCCCTCGCCGTCCGCTCCGCCGGGCGCCGGTAGCGACTTGTATGGGGCAGTCAGACGCGTAATCCGTTTGGGCCTAACGAGGCCTATTAGTCCTACAGTGAAAAGCTGGGAATTAAGACAACTGCCTTCCTACTCTAGCATTTAAGGGCAACGCAATCTGAAGAGAAGGAAAGCTTATGCAAATATGCGCATTTCGTTGTGAGTCAGCAAAACGCGACTCATAATTATTAGTTGTGCGGTGCACGACATGTAGATGTAGCTTGGCATGAATGCGATTAAACAATTGGGTTCGTTTGCTAAAGAAAATATATTTCATGCGGGCCTCTTACCGGCGAACACCTCTGTCACCAGCGTTTCAGCACCGTCATCTTCCTTTCCAGTGGTGAGCTGTCTGCAGAGCTTTGAGCTAGAGCCGAAGCGAACAGAGGTCAACCCTGGCGAAGCGGCGGTGCTGCACTGCAAGATACACAGCAAAGCCGGCCAGTGCTCGTGGCAGAAGGATGGCTACGTGAGTTCTACGGTCGCCCCTGCTCTTAACTGCATTCACCAGGGGTGTCGCTTCGTGTAGTTTCGGGGGCTTGAGCCGCCCCCCCCCCCCCTCCTCCAAGCTGGCTTAAGCCCCTTAATGCTCTGTTGAGCCCCGCAATGCGTATGGGGCAAAAAAGGAAATGCTGGGGCAGTGAAATGCACCCGGCATCTGAACTCCTGGTACACTAGAGACCTAAACACATCACTGTCAATATCATCGTCATACATTATCATTATTCCAGTCACATTGGCTTCAAGTGGGATGGCATTCTTCAGCATCAGAAAATTTTGGAACCGACAACTCTTGTCTTATTTCAACGTTAAACATCGGGGATGTAAATCAAAGTGTCCCATGGGAAACACCAGGATTGGGGTGGGTGGGTTTGAACATCGCTGTTTGCTCAGCCCCCGAATCTTTTTTATAAAGCGCCACCTCTGACTGCATCATTCTGCGGTGGAGGTGACTGGGTGTTCCGCGACTTTATAGCCATCATTACCAGGTCTTGGTTCGTTGGCCGTTGCCCCAAACTCTTCCTGCTCTTTACTGAAAGGCTCTTTTACCGAGATTGTCTTTAGACGTCACGATATCGTCAGGCTGGGGATGCGATGTGAGCGATGAGTGCCCCTCGTGTAGGCGCATGCTTAATGGTGGGCGCATTAGCCGTCAAAACACGTGCCAGAATGGCGAACGTTTACTACCGGTAGTCAGGGGAGCGCCGCAAGCGTGAGAGTATCCCCAAGTGCTTTTCCACTTATCGCTGCACTTCAAAAGCAGTGCCATAGCCGATTTTTTTTCAGGTAAAAATGACAAGTATGCACGTACCGTTACACCTGCCATTTGTAAGCTATAAAAGTGGATTATGATGGCAAAGTTACTTCAATAGACGAATCCCATTTCTAAGTTGTAAAGCACTCGAAGAGGTGTGATGTAAATGCGTGCAACGCCAGACGATGCTGGGTGCATTTTGGTTGCTGTCCGCCTTTGTTGCTGCGCTTCTGTGGTGCCCAGCCCGCCGTCGCAGGCTGCCGTTTATACCTAGTAACACAGTGTAAGGCAGCAAACGCCCTCCACTGTTTCATGTGTACATTGGCGTTGTTATTCAAGCGATCAGTGTGTACCAAATGGACCAGATCAATACCATTCACAGGCGGCCCATCAAAAAGCTCGTTGTACAGTGCACAACACTTGGTCGTGGGCTTCGCTGCAAAAGCTGCACGTAGTGATATTTGATTAAGCATTTTATGGCATTGAGCATACTGTGGGACAGGACGTGGAATATGTGGTAACCTTCAGCCTTTCCCGAACTTCTGACTAGAAGAGAGAATGTATCTATGTCGTTGCTAAGTGGTGCGCTTTTCAGCATAATTAGGAAAGTGATTGGTTCAGATTCAAACGTCAAACCTTTTAGTTTTACAAGGAAACAAGAAGGGTGTTTCGGATCCGTGGCATCGTCTAAGTTAAGATGCGATGCTCTCTCGTTTTCACATGAATGAGTACTTGTTCGGCCTGTCAAGCGTGCAAGACAGGGCAAAGCTTCATTGATGCAACCATTCGTACCATGTGCTCTCAGCCTGTCATTCTATGCCTTCGGTGTCATGAACTGAGTACGTCTGGTAGGGTACGGAGAGAACGTATCAGTCGTTGCAGCGTACCGACCTTGATCGACAAGAAGAGAATGTTCGTTGAACAGCCTATTCTCGATGAAGTGTATCTGAAGAATAATGATTTGCAGAGCTGTTAACAACAGCAATGCAATCCAGCAATTCCATTAGGAACGATCGATTATCCTATCCTTGTCTCCAAAACTTTTTGGATTCCGTGGTGTCAAATCAGCCACTTTGTTGCTGGATGGAGAGTTTAGGAGTATAACAATGTGTGGCTGCATCCGCTTCGTGCTCGGTTTATATTTTCTTCTCCAGCCGTTACACGGGATCCAACCATTGAGATTGATCACCTTCTCAGAATCGCCACCTACCTCTGTGACTGCGAAAGGTGCATCACACCCAACAATGCATATATCAGGGCGGGAATCTGAGAGCATTTCTGCACGAACTCGCCTGTCTCTGGCACGGCATGGCGACACATAGACGATAGATTTGTTCGTTTTTTCAAAAAGCTTTCCGTGTTTGCGGTTCGCAAAATCCCTTCCCACTGCGCATTTACCAGATTGCCATACAAGGCGGCGTAATGGCCGAGTGGTTAGCGCCTTGGGCTCTCACGTGAGGCCAGGGATCAAATCCTGGCTGCGACATGGCCCCTGAGCGTTCGCCTGGCGTCATGGCCGAGTGGGTAGCGCCTTGGGCTCTCACGTGAGGCCAGGGATGGAATCATGGCTGCGACATGGCCCCTGAGCGTTCGCCGGGCCAGTGCAGTCTCTGGCGCTCCATCAAACGGGCCTGACGGCGCGCGTGGCGCTCCCTTAAAATACTTTTTTGGGCAATATTGAGGTTCATGTATGGTCAAGTCGTCGTTTAGGTTCACTGCAAATGGTCACCGACCGGTTTTCTTTCACGGACAACACGCGGCACATAACGGAGGTGGCTGTTCCCTGGTTTGTCGCTCAAACTTAAAACTTCATGCTTGTTCAAACGGCATTTGTGGTAGCACCGTTGTCAAAAAGCCAAGATCACCACTGTGCGTAGCACATTGTGGTCTGAGCACACGTTGTTACCGTATCTGGCTGCCAAAAACGCATGTCTGCCCAGCAGCACCGAGCCCACTGCTCCTGTGCTGCCGCGCACGTCTGACCAGTAGCACCGAGCTCACTCTACTCCTGTGCTGCCATGCACGTCTAACCAGTAGCACCGAGCCCACTGCTCCTGTGCTGCCGTGAACGTCTGACCAGTAGCACCGAGCTCACTCTACTCCTGTGTCACCGTGCACGTCTGACCAGCAGCACCGACCTCACTCTACTCCTGTGTCGCCGTGCACGTCTGACCAGCAGCACCCAGCGCACTCTGCTGCCGTGTTGCCGCGCACGTCTGACCAGCAGCAGCGCTAAGTCGGTTGTGTGACTGTCTACAGCCGATCGGGCCCGAGCAGGACAAGTACGAGTGGGTGGGCGCGCCGGACGACGGCGACTGTTCGCTGAGGGTGCTCAGGGCTGACCTCAAGTACGACGACGGCCTCTGGTCGTGTCAGGTCACCGCCAGCAGCTTCCAGACGCAGGACGCGCTGCGCTCGACCCCGGCGCCGCTCGTGGTCAGAGGTCAGTGACGTCAGAGGTCGTCAGGGATTGGTCAGTCGTCAGAGGTCAGAGCTAGATCCCTTGGCATGCATCCGGCAGCCGGGGATAGACGGCTGGGCCGAGAAAGCTAGTTTTCCGGCTGTTTTTTTTTTGTGCGCGTCAGAGGTGGGTTGTAGCGCTGAAAACTAGTGATGAAGTATTCCTAACGACTTCCGAATCAGGTCCTTCAGTCAGCAGCCTTGGAAGTGCACCCTGCGCTCTCTTTCATTGTAGAATGGCGGAGTACTGGAAATCCGGTGATCGGTGCTCTTTATACGATCATGACAGACAACTTCTTTCGCCTTGGGGTTCTTCCTTCATCATTTCCAAAAGCCTCACAGTCAACGCGTGATCCCCTCCCCCTCGCGAAACCCTATCGGTTAAGGTTTATCCCGCGTATTTCTGTCCAGCGCCCGCTGTGTAACGGCTGCTCCTCTATCCGCCTTGGCTCGTGGGGCACGAGAAGGTAAGCCGATCCGTCTCTCCTCCTTCCGTCCGCACAACGGGCTTCTCCCCTGCTTCTGCTATCTCTCGGGTGCATTCAGAGGTAGACAACGTTGTCGTGATGGATGGGCACAACCCCTTCTCTCACCGGAAATGTGTGCTGAATGTTGTCTATGCTGTTGCGGGTCACCTCCTTTCTTGCAAGTAAATCTCGGGCCTTGTGTTGGATAGCTTCGGTATTGGAATTTCTATGATACCTTTTGTCATATTCTAACGTACATAGATAGTCGCTAGGCCAAAGGGCGTGTGTATCGTCAGATGCGTTTTTTTTGAGCGTCCATTAGACATTGTGAGGGTCGCAGGAAACAACGAGTGGAGGCGCATCGATCAACCGAGGTCAAACATCTTTCAGATAACTTTTGATTAAAGTATGATATCTGAGTTAATCGTATGAATGGAGAGTAATGGACCACATCTCCATGGCGGATTCCTTCGCCGGCTTGGTCCACCCTCACGAAAGTGACGGCAGCGTGTACATCAACAAACGCCAAACCATCCCGTACCATGTCAAGATGTCGTATCGTGTCGCGCTAACGATCTCACCTCACGACGCTCGGCATCGACTCAACGTGAACTCAGCCTATAAAAGCGCACTCCCCGGCGGCTTTCAAGGCCGAGATTCTGACCAGCATCGCTACCCCGATCACGAGACGTGCTGAGCCAGTCTCTATCGCAAACTGCGGCCGCAGTAGAGATTTAGTCCTCCAATAGTTCAGTATTTCTGAGTAACTTGCTCTGATCAAGACGACCTGCTCGGTCATGTGTATAATGCTCAAAGTGAGAGCTGTATATAAAGCAACCTAAACCATCAGCTTTCCCTTCCACATGAGGTATGTTACATGGAACGGAAACAAAATGTGTGCGACTGGAGCGCTCAATTTCCATAATTCCATGATTGAAAGTTTTCTGAAAGCTGGCAGCGACTACACGCACATCATGCGTCGTCATTTCTGCCCAATATCCGCAGTTATTTATTATTTCGGCCCCATACTTTAAATGGGCTCCTCTGGCGTCCTCGACCCGGCCTGGTCTGCGGCAGGCGATCGGCTTGGCCGGCGGTCTCCTGCGTCCGAAGTTGGCGCGTGCCTCCGAGCCGACGCACGGCCGGTGCCTGAGCGCCGCCTGACTTCCGGCCGGATCGATTGCTGGGACGGCCGGCCTCGTGTCCGGCGGCGCGGCTTTCAGGCCCGTCCGATCCCCCGGGTCCTGACCTCTGGCCGCGCCAGGGCCGGCCGACGCGCCGCCGGCCCCAACACGCCACACCTGCGAGAGCCTCCTCCAGCCGTCCCGACCCGGCCGGCTCCCCTCGGCTCAGTTCCTCGGGGGTCGCCCCGTTCGCGCCGCGGACGGAGTGGACGGCCGCCCACCGAGCGTGCGCGGTCCGTGTACAAGTGTTTGATTTTCCCACCGCGAACGGCATGCAGATGGCTACTAATTGGTCATGACGGATTGGCTCAGCTGTCGAATATGTGCAAGGCACCTCTCTCATGCTAAAGCTGTTGCATTAACAAATAATGACGGCGATCATTTCCTGTAGCAAATCACTAAATCCAGTGAACAGACCCTGATAATCATCTAGAGGCGGTCCTGTCATTTCTTACTCACCGCAGAGGCGCGTGATTGCATCACTCAGGTCCACTGAGCTTAACGAAAGGCTGTTGAATACTGCAACCTTAAATCGATATTGCGTGACTTCTATATTGCAGTTAGTAAGCCGAGGCCGGCTGGCTTGACTAAGATGACAGTAAGGTTTTCGATGGGACTCCTCGCGTAGAAAACTTATGGGTAGTTTGAGTGAGTCCTTATCCGCCTAGTTAAACCCGCACGAAATATCTGGTCGTCAAGCCGTCGGATGCGCTCGGGCCGGACACGACGGAAAGATTTGTTCTCGCTGCCTGTGGGCTTTCCCCGTGACGATGAAGGCAGGGCTGCATCATTCTTGTAGCCAGTGGTGACTCCTGCTGCGATGCCGCCCTCCCGCCCGCTGTTCACTGGTGATCGTCCGCTGTGCTTCTCGCAGTGGAGCCGAAGACGCCGCAGATCGAGTTTGGCGCCGTGCCGATTCCTTCCGGCCGTAACCTGACGGCCAGACTGAGCGACGAGGTGACCGTCCAGTGCAGCGCCGCCGGCGGCAACCCGCCCGCCATCATCCGGTGGTTTGTCGGTGAGTCACCTGACGCCCCCCCCCCCCCCCCCCTCCCTCTGCCGCGCTCAGCTCCGACCCCGCTCCCCCTGGCGGGCGGCACGAATCGCCGCTCAAACGCTGCGAGGAGCATTAAATTTGCGTGTGGCGATTGACCAGCCAATTTAAATTCACACACGAAGAGCCCAAAATGAACGCGTGCTGTTCGATCCATCCACGCCACCTTCCGCGTTCAGGAGGCGCGGCGCAGGGTGTCGTGCCGCCCAGGTGCTGTTCTGATTCTCACTAAGCGGGATTAACTGCACTATGTTTTCCGAAATGCTTGTTGTAATAAACCTCGAAATGGAGCCACCCAAGCATGCTAATACTAATTAGAAAAGCACTCAACAAGCACTTGAGCCACTTTTACTCAAATATTTGTTTGCTTCCTTTTCCTCCCAGCTATACTGCTGGTGGCAAAGGCTGCAATTATCTTCGGCTGGGGGAACACGAGTGTTGTCTTCCGCGCTGTGTGCGTAAATTCGCCGCGGACGTATCCATGCGAATGGTGACGTCATCAAGAGCACTTGCTGGCATATTTCCATTTCCAGATTTCGTGTGTTTCCATACTTTAGAGCATCTTTACCTGTGTCGTGTCTGGGACGAGACTGACTTCACCTATGTGACCTGCCCTATCCAGATCTAAACTGTGACCTGTCCGCTTCAGAGCTAGCCTCTGTGACCTTCCTGCCTCAGGGCTAGCCTGTGTGGCCTGCCCACCTCAGAGCTTATCTGTGTGGCCTACCCACCTCAGAGCTAATCTGTGTGGCCCGCCAACCTCAGAGCTAACCCGTGTGACCTGCCAACCTCAGAGCTAACCGGTGTGACATGCCCGCCTCAGAGCTAACCGGTGTGACCTGCCAACCTCAGAGCTAACCCGTGTGACCTGCCAACCTTAGAGCTAACCCGTGTGACCTGCCAACCTCAGAGCTAACCCGTGTGACCTGCCCGCCTCAGAGCTAACCGGTGCGACCTGCCCCTCTAACCGGTGCGACCTCTCGACCGGTGCGACCTCTCGGAGCTAACCGGTGCGACCTCTCGGAGCCAACCCGTGTGACCTGCCAACCTCAGAGCTAACCCGTGTGACCTGCCCGCCTCAGAGCTAACCGGTGTGACCTGCCGCCTCAGAGCTAACCGGCGTGACCTGCCCACCCCAGAGCTAACCTGTGTGGCCTGCTGCCTCAGAGCTAACCGGCGTGACCTGCTGCCCCAGAGCTAACCTGTGTGACCTGCTGCCTCAGAGCTAACCTGTGTGACCTGCTGCCTCAGAGCTAACCGGCGTGACCTGCTGCCCCAGAACTAACCTGTGTGACCTGCCAACCTCAGGCGAGGAGGACCTGACGCAGATGTCTTCACAACGAAACGTGACCGATGTGGAGAGCCCGAAGACGTTCACGGCCATCTCGGAGCTTCGCTATAGTTTCCGCCGGCAGCACGCAGGGGCGTACTTGCGCTGCGTGGCGCTGCACCAGGCGTACGACACGCCATCGCGAGACACCATCGCCCTACTCGACCTACAGTGTGAGTGAGCGACGTACGACACGCTTGCGCAGGCCACCGTCGCACGGCTGGACCTGCGGTGTGAGTAAGTGACGTACGACACGCCGCGCCAGGCCGCCGTCACATGGCTCGACCTGTAGTATGAGTGAGCGACGTACGACGCGTTGTGCTAGGCCACCGTCGCACGGCTAGACCTGCGGTTTCGCACTTTCGATGTGCCGTCCGGGTGCATTGCCCACGGCTAAACCAGAGGCACGCTGGCTTGCCATTCTCCCTGTCCAGTGCGCACCATCACTGGTCTTCATCACTGGTCACGGCTGCTCCCCGTCCAGTGCGCACCATCACTGGTCGTCATCACTGGTCACAGCTGTGTGATGCGAGCCGCGCAGACAGTGGTGTGCCGCTGCTCCTGGCACGCCATCGCGCGGCTCTGCCCGCGGTTTGTATGCCGAACGACACGCAGTCCACACACGCCGCCAAGCTATCCAGCCGTGTCCAGTATTACACGACGAGTCTGGACACATGGTGAGCCTGGGCTCCACCGGCTGGCTCCTGACCAACCTGCGTCACCGCTGCCGTCACTGGCAGTTGCGCGGCCAAAGTTCAGGACGGCCGGTGCGCTGCCGCCGACTGAAGCGTCGCGCCGGCTTCGATCGCCGCTCTCGACAGCTTCCCGTTAGCGGATAGCATCGGCAGGCCTCCCACCGCGCCGGAAATGTTTTGAAACGGCTGCCTCATCCCGTCGCACAGACTTTTGTCCGCGCTAACTTTGCCACTATTTTGGGGAGTTTCCAGAAACCACTCAAAGAATCTGTCATGATAAACTTGTTCGGGTGCGGCCGACCGGTCAGCCGACCGTTCGGCCGCATCCACTCACCAACACGAGTCTGGGTTCGCCAGTTATGATGCATCGCAGGTACGCCGCCATTTCATGGAATGCTCTACGTGCTACATCTCGTGGCGGATTTTTGTTGTTCAGATGCAATGCCTTCCTCCCATCAACAACTTAATATTTGGTGCATTCCAGCCATACTGTCTTCTATGAGGGCATCGTTAAGATAGGAATATGCAACGCGTTGAAACGCAGGCCCTCTGCGGAAGCGGCACCTGAAGCATGCACGTACGCGCATTCTTGTTTCGTTCGCTCCGCCAGCTGTCTAATGTGACTCAGGCAGGTTTACATACCACAAACTTCATGTCTGCCCCTCTGCCGCTGGAATTTTATACATAACATCTGATATATTACATCTAGGTAGTATGTCTATACTTATATATATATATATATATATATATATATATATATATATATATATATATATATCTGTGTGTGTGTGTGTGTGTGTGTGTGTGTGTGTGTGTGTGTGTGTGTGTGTGTGTGTGTGTGTGTGTGTGTGTGTGTGTGTGTGTGTGTGTGTGTGTGTGTGTGTGTGTGTGTGTGTGTGTGTGTGTGTGTGTGTGTGTGTGTATACGTGTATGTTAATAATGACGGAGTTTCCCGTTTCCCTTCAGCACGTCCCATCATGCCCTACATGTCCACATTAGCACCGGTCAGCAGCACTGGCGCCTCGAGTCACGCGCGGTCGGAAGACCGTGACGTACTTCGAAGGTCTGGCCCGTGTGGACAGGTCCTGTCCATGGTGCACTGTGCGCCAGGGCCAACACTCTCTTTTGAGGCGGTTAGGGTCTTTTAGACTCTATCCTTTTCCGAGCTACCCATTAAAGCCGCCAGCTAACTACCCAGGGACCCGGTTCGGAACGTCTTATGCCCAGTCCACTTCACATTTTCCGTTAGACGACATCTCGCGCATACTGCCGTGCGCTCCCGGGCGCTTATAAGTGTCATTTAACGCAGACGAGGGATCTCTTATGTTTAACTATGCTGTGAAATAGTGTGGAGCGCCTTCCGTGCGACGCACCATGGCGACATCCAATACCCTTGAAATGACGCATGCGGTAGCCTGTGCGCCTTTACGGCCCAGGCTAATACCACCAGAGCATCATTTGGCCGCGTCGGGCGTATACACTTTAATCGTCTTGTTTTGATGGCTTGCCAACGCACCTCGACGGGGAAGTGTAGCGATGTTGACGTGCGTAATATTGACAGCGGCAAAGTTCGCCTGTCCGACATTCTAGAACGTTCCGGCTGTATGGCTGAGTATGGTCTCGGCCGCATGGCTGGGCCTGGTCTCGGCCGTACGGCTGAGCCTGGTCCCGGCCATGTGGCTGAGCCTGGTCCCGGCCGTATGGCTGAGCCTGGTCACGGCCGCATGGCTGAGCCTGGTTGCGGTCGTGCGGCTGGGCCCCTAGTCTCGGCCGTACGGCTGAGCCCAGCCCCGGCCGTGCGGCTGAGCCTGGTCCCGGCCGTACGGCTGAGCCTGGCCCCGGCCGCACGGCTGAGCCTGGTTGCGGTCGTGCGGCTGAGCCCAGCTCCGGCCGTACGGCTGAGCCTGGCCCCGGCCGTACGGCTGAGCCCCTAGTCCCGGCCGTATGGCTGAGCCTGGTTGCGGTCGTGCGGCTGAGCCTGGTTGCGGTCGTGCGGCTGAGCCCAGCTCCGGCCGTACGGCTGAGCCTGGTCCCGGCCGCACGGCTGAGCCTGGTTCGGGTCGTATGGCTGAGCCTGGTTCCTATCGTATGGCTGAGCCCAGCTCCGGTCGTATGGCTGAGCCTGGTCTCGGCCGTATGGCTGGGCCTGGTCCCGGCCATGTGGCTGAGCCTAGTCCCGGTCGTGCGGCTGAGCCTGGTTCCGGTCGTATAACTGAGCCTGATTCCGGTCGTATGGCTGAGCCCAGCTCCGGCCGTACGGTTGAGCCTAGTCCTGGCCGTGCGGCTGAGCCTGGTTGCGGTCGCATGGCTGAGCCCAGCTCCGGCCGTATGGCTAAGATTGGGTGCTCGGCTCGTTGTCTCTCACAACAGTGCCACCAGCCCGACAGTTTTTTCCTCCGGCCAAGCATCGCCAGTTTAATAAAACCGAAATTCTCCACAAAGCGGCCGGCCGTGGCCACAGCCAGGGGACCACAGCTAGTTGTTGACCTGTCCAGCACCATTGTGCCGCAGGGCCGGGCCGGTCGGCCGGTCGTTGTCGCGGCCGGCTCGTCGGTTGTGGACGGCGGCCCGGGCCGAGCCGCGTTTGCTCCGCTCGGGGACACGCTCGTCAGTCGACGGTGGCGCGCGCGCCCGAGGGGTGACGATCGGATTATCCCGGCGGCTCCCGGCCATTTGTAATTGTAATCGGCTCCGAGCCGCGGGTGCGCGCAGGCCAGCTCGCCATAATTGATTGTAACGACGTGCCCGACGGATTGTTGGCTGCGCGCCCGCCGACAGCTGGCCGTTCGGAGTCGGCTAGCGCTTTAATCGCCGTCTGATTTCATGGCTCTGCGCGCCGACGCTCGGCGCAAAAAGCCGGCCGAGCGTGACCGCCGGAGGCCACGGGAGGGATCAGCCAGGTGTCGGCGGTATGGCACGGGGTGGTGTGGCCGGCCGTCGTCGGTGGCCGCCGCGCAGGCGATCAGACTGTGACGTGACTGAGCGTGGGAGACCCACCCACCTGGCCCAGCCAACACGGAAAAGGTTTGCATGCTCGCACGCTATCGTTTTGACGCATCGATTTTCCGCGCGGGGCTTTCTTAGCTCGCAGGCGAAGTTAATTTCCCGAATGAAGTGATCCATCAACAGTTCGGAAAAATGTAACCTCTTCAGGGCGGGGCAGCGGAGAGAATCAAGAAAACAATGCGACCCATCTACATGCGACTTATGTGCACAAGAAAATCGATATGTTGTTCGTGACTGGGTCATTTACGCTTGCACAACCATCCTTTGTGTGCTTGGCAATTATTCAACTGATTTTTATCCAATGTGAATCAGCTCAAAGGTTCAGAGGTGATTGCCGGTTTGTCGCGGTCCGGAGCGGACCCGGCTCACACTGTCGCGGTCCGGAGCGGACCCGGCTCACGCTGTCGCACCCCACACGATAGAGAGCGCCGCCAGCATGGCTCGCCAGGGCCGGAACTAGCAGGCCGAGATTCGGCCGAGGTACGAATATATAGGCGTCCTGCTCCGTGGAGACACAGATTGGGTCGTAATGACGAACTTTTCTCATCCGCGCATGCAAACATTTTTCATCAGCACGCAACTAGTAAGTTGTAGCCTTGGCCTGGGTCATACTTTTCTGACTGCAACCGCAAAATGCGTGCTTTTCTGCCACTGAACGCCATAAAGAAGCACCCCTGGCGCTGCTCACTTGCTGGCGGGTCAGAGTGACTCACTTGGCGCCGCTGCTGATCTCCAGGCGTGTCAGAGTGATTACCTGACGTTGCTGACCTCCAGGCGTGTCAGAGTGATTCTCTGACGTTGCTGACCTCCAGGCGTGTTAGAGTAATTCCCCTGGTGCCGCAGACCTGCCGGCGTATCAGGGTGATTCTCTGACGTTGCTGATCTCCAGGCGTGTCAGAGTGGTTCCCTGACGTTGCTGACCTGCCGGCGTGTCAGGGTGATTCCCCTGGCGCCGCAGACCTGCCGGCGTGTCAGGGTGATTATCTGACGTTGCTGACCTCCAAGCGTGTCAGAGTGGTTCCCTGACGTTGCTGACCTGCCGGCTTGTCAGAGTAATTCCCTGACGTTGATGACCTCCAGGCGTGTCAGAGTGATTCCCTGACGCTGCCGGCCTTCAGGCGTGTTAGAGTGATTCCCCTGGCGCCGCAGACCTGCCGGCGTGTCAGGGTGATTCCCCTGGCGCTGCAGACCTGCCGGCGTGTTAGAGTGATTCCCCTGACGCCGCTGATCGGGGCCAACGGCCGTGTTCCAGACGTGCCGGAGGTGCGGCTGACCGGCCTGCCCGACCGCGAGCTGGAGGAGAACGTGGACGTGGTGGTGCTCGAGTGCCAGGTCGACGCTAACCCGGCCGCTACCGTACTCTGGCGCTTCGCGGCGCGCGACGACGACCGCGCCGACATCTTCTTCGTCGACAAACTGGAGCTGCGACCGGTCACCAAGAAGAACTCGGGCACGTACGAGTGCGAGGCCAGCAACGGCGTGGGCACGAGCAAGCCTCTCCGCGTCACGCTCGACATCAAGTGTGAGTCGGAGTCGCGGGGCGGGTCGCCGACTGCGGCCGAGGAGGGTGAGGGGAGGGGCAGGTGTCGGGTTTTAAAAATCGGGCGGCGAGACACGCCAGGTGATCGTCTGAGGGTGCTAGCGAGCTAACGGTGGAACGACACGCGATGGTGGGATGCTAGCTGGCGTGAGTCGCCGGCTGTTCTTTCTGTTCGCACAGGCCACGTTGTGATTGTGAGGAGGGACTCGTTAAACGTCCGCTTCCGGCCGCCGCACACAAACACTATGTGGCCATTGCACAGTTGCAGGCAATAGAAAACACAGTCATGAATGAATCACGCTTCATGTGTTGTACATTGTGCCATAAATGGTATCCGTTTTCAGCTACCTTCTGCAATGAACTCTGAATTTCCTACTCAAAATCTTGGCTCCTGAAGGACCCTTGTAACGAAATTCTCAGCCGCGCTCGGAACACGTAAGAATGGTTCGACCAGGCTGTTGTAAGGTCCTAGAAAATGGATGGATCTGGGAGAAGATGATACTACATGGAAGTCCCTGAGAGATCTGGGTCCAGAAAAATTGCCTCATTATCCAGGTCCGCTGTCCTTTTTCAATGGCCTTTCCCTGAGTATTTGCCAGCGCTTATTACGGACTATGCACACTCTTCACACCGCGCGTGCTCCCGTGCCAACACTCACACGACGTGACCGCCATCCACAGACGCACCGCGAGTCTACCACGTGCAGCCGCTGTACCACATGACGGCGGCCCTGTACAACGCCAGCGAGCTGGAGTGTGAAGCTGAGGGCAGCCCGGAGCCGAGCTACCAGTGGCTGCAGCGGCTGCCGGCCGGCGCCGGCCGGCGGGCTGCGGCGGCCGTGGTCCGCGGCACGGGCCGGCGCCTCCGGCTGCAGAACGTCACCTACCAGAGCCAGGGCCAGTACGTGTGCGTGGCCAGCAACGTCATCAACGGCGAGGAGCGCAGCGACCGCGGCGAGCCGGTCGAGCTGGGCGTCATTGGTGAGTGGTGAGCCCGGTGAACGGGCCGAACGCTCCCTGCTCTGTGTTGGCGTTGGTCGCGGCGACTCCAGCGGTTGTGATATTTCTTGGCTGGAGCTGGGTACGCACGTTCCATGAGGTGCTTGGTACCCGGTGACATCAGGAGAATTCGGTGACATCAGGAGAATTCGGTGACATCAGGAGAATTCGGTGACATCAGGAGAATTCGTCCAGTTCAAAACGTGGTACGTTTTGCGCTCTCTGCATGTTTTATCAATCCCAAGGTGTAAATGAAAACAAGACTGGTCTTCATGGTGATTTCATTCTACAGTCATTAAACGCTGTCGTAATGTCGTTGGATGAGACGACATACGACAAAAAGTCGTTTCCGGCTCATGACACACTGCACTCGCTCAGGGACACGCGACCGCAGCGCTGGACCGAATCGCAGAATGCATAATTTAGTGCATCCATGCAACAGATTGTACCTCACACGCCATGCAGTGAGCCTCCCGGTGCTGAGCATTTCGACCTACCCCCCCCCCCCCCCTCCCCCTCACAAAACGAGTGTCATTTCTCCCCACGCGTCTGACTGCCGCCTGTCATCAAAACATTGTTAGCAGAAGCGATCCGCCGTGATCACATCACAACGTGTTCATTTGTTGAGAGTTGGCAGGCTGCGAAAGGGCCGGCCGGCCGGCTCCGCGCGGCAGCCAGTCTGAGCTCCTGTTTGCCATGGAGCTGGAACAAACAGAGACGTGCCGCCGGTATTGGATGGCCCGACGCCTCGTCCGATCGACGCCAGTAGTATGTAAATACTGGGGGCAAACAAACTGCGGCACCCTCCCAGACACGTGCACCAGCCGGGGCCGCCGGGATTCAGCAGGCGGTCAGTGGGGTAACTTTTGGCTGTGAGTCACTGGCCGCCTGTGCTCGGTGGCGGCAGGCGGAGCGATCAGGCGGGCCCACTCCGACACCGCCCGCCCGAGAGAGAAGAGAGAGAGAGAGAGAGAGAGAGAGAGAGAGGAGAGAGAGAGAGAGAGAGAGAGGAGAGAGAGAGAGAGAGAGAGAGAGAGAAAGAAAGAGAGAGAGAGAGAGAGAGAGAGAGAGAGAGAGAGAGAGAGAGAGAGAGAGAGAGAGAGAGAGAGAGAGAGAGAGAGAGAGAGAGAGAGAAAGAAGAGAGAGAGAGAGAGAGAGAGAGAGAGAGAGAGAGAAAAAAAATAGAGAGAGAGAGAGAGAGAGAGAGAGAGAGAGAGAGAGAGAGAGAGAGAGAGAGAGAGAGAGAGAGAGAGAGAGAGAGAGAGAGAGAGAGAGAGAGAGAGAGAGAGAGAGAGAGAGGCTTCGAAATACAGCTGCAAGTCGTGCCGGAAATGCTGACATAATGCGACGTTTGAGTGAAGGAACGGAGTGTCGAAATAAATCACCTCATACCTCATTCATCCCATCACCGCGGTGTCGATTTATTTCTGCCGCCAAGAAGCGAGGTTGTCGGGGGAGCGCGAGGGACGCCGGAGGGAGAGCTGGCGGCCGGGCTCTGAACTCTCCCAGACTTGGAAAGGGGGGCTGGGGGCGGTCAGAATGTGGCAGCGGTACTTGCGACCGGGAGAACTTCTCGAGTGCCTTGGAATTGAGCAAGCGAACGCAAAGTCGTTGGGGCCAGACGTCACTTACGGATCCAGACGACGCTGCGAATCTCGCCGTTCGTCGTGCTGGCCCCCAGTTTCCAGACAACAAATGCGCGGATCAGAAGTCCATTTCCATCACGGATCCCTGCCACGCTAAACATTTCAAAGGACAGGAGTCTTGTTTGCTGAGCGATTTCGCCCGTTCAGTGTTCTTTGTTGTCAACTAGTTTGCTTGTCAAACGTCCTTGCCCGTCAGTTGGCTTAATTTTTATTTGAAATGCTTAAAAGGCATCAATAGGCAGCGAGAAATCCCGCAAAATGTTTAGCTGAAGCGTCAGGGCAATGTGCTGTTGGTCAACTGGAGTCGGCTGACTGCTCTCACCTCTGGTGTCTCCGTTCACCCCGCGTGCCTTCTCTGGCGCCAGGTCCTCCTCAGATCGTGCGCGCTGGGCAGGCCGCCACTGTGTCGGTGGTGCGGGGCCAGGAGGCCGTGCTCGAGCAGGTGTTCTGCTCTGACCCGCTGCCGTCCAGCGCCGTCTGGCACTGGGACGGCCAGCAGCTGCAGACCGGCAGCAGCCGCGGTCGCTACTCGGCAGACGACATCAGCCAGGTACGTCTGCGTACCCCTAACGTGCCGTCTGCGTGCCGGCACGTTAGGGGAGGGGGCGTGTCGCCCAGGCACGTTCGCTGATACGCGGAGATGGGGATACGCTGGCACGTGTGATGGTACACCAGGGATTGACTGGGTTGTCCACGTACATGAGAACTACCTGACTTCGTGCCAAGACGATGCCACGCGAACCAGTCTAGTCCAGATCAGTGCACCCGCCGCGTGAGGTCACCTTCGGGCTAGTCTTTGAGAAAGCGAATGCTGCTACCAAGGTGCATGAGACCGGAAACAAAGGGCCACTCCTGTCGAAGTCACGCGCAGGTGGGCACGGCGACGAGCGGGACACAGCCGACCATATCCCTCGGGCCCATTCAAAGGCACAGACATCGTCAAAATAAGGCAAATTGTACGCTCTTGGGCAGGATTCAGCCTCTGCTACTCATTGCACTTGGCGAGCCCAGAGTCCACAACTACGGACGATCTCCGCGTTTACCTCGGATCCCTGGCGCCGCTTTGTTACTAAATCTATATCGCGGCATCGTCAAGACCCTCCTAGCGCAACACAAAGGATTTCAAATGGCCGGAAGCGGCCTCATCGGGAAAATGAATTGCTAAAGTTGGGCTTCCGGCGCGGTTTTGCGGTGCTGATGGCAGAAAGACCCGTCCCGTCTCGGAGTCCCGCGTCGGCCGGCGCCCTCTGCCGGCGGCCGCTGATGGCAGAGAGACCCGTCCCGTCTTGGAGTCCCGCGTCGGCCGGCGCCCTCTGCCGTCGACCGTGATGTCTGTGGCGGCCCCGGCGGGCGACACACGCATATATAACCCAGCGCGGCAAACACTCATGCTGCCCGCGGCGCCGCCCTGATGTGGATCGCCTCTGTAATCCAATAAATTCACCAGTTCCAAGCCGCACTGCGCGCTTATCTGTCTTCCCCCTCCTCCGCCGAGCTGCATTACGGCAAGTGGATCTTTCGGAGGGCGCGTGGCCGTGGGCATCTCCCTGGGTGCGTTCACCTCGTACGTTCTCCGGGAAATAAAACTTGGTTTCTTAAGATCGCCTTAGCTGGTAAGTCTTTTTTTGTTTCGAGTGGCGCAACCTGTATCCTGTTTCTGTTTTGTATGCCACTGAAGACTAAGCTGCATGCATACAGCAGTCGACAGTGTATGGCAAATATCTTACAATGACAAAGATAATTGCCAACAAGGACCAATGGAGACAGGTTGCCTCGAACCATCCGTGACCGCATGCCGGTGTTCGGAACCGCTGGAAAGCCGAGCCGGTCTCTGTCAGCCAGCGAGGGCACCTCGGCTCAACATGTGAGCGCGGTCGACCCCCAGCCTCGAGTACGACTCTGGGGTCGCGTTGGGAAGGCAGTACGTGTACGAGTACGCCGGGGAGTCACGTCAGGAAGGCGGCGCGCGGCGGCCGGCAGCGACGCCGCGGTTCCGTCTGTGCTGCTGTGACGGCCAGCCGCGCTCGCCGGACGCAGATAAGCCCCCAGTGCCGCGTGTCGAGCCCGCCCGTGTCCTCGCCACAGGAGGACGCCGAGGACTGCTACCGGACGCGGCTGCGCGTGCAGGAGGCGGGACCGGCCGACCAGCACCCGTACTTCCTCCACGTGCAGAACGACCTCGGTTCAGACCGGCACGGTGTGGCACTCCAGGTGGAAGGTCAGTCCCTATAGGAGCCAAGTGGGGGAGACTCGAGCGAGACCGCTCTCTAGCTGTGCTGGATGCTTTCCCAGCGCGCTTGTCTAAACAAGCTATCGAGTCGCCGACACGAATGCGTGCTCAGCACCGTACGGCATTGCAGTAGAAGCGAAATGTTCGATGTGCCCAGTGAAGAGAGGTCTTTTTGAACCCGTATATTTGTATTTCTAAGCTTGCTTTTGGCGTCCGTCGGCCTCTGATCTCGGAGGCCGATGCGCGGTGTCTGTATCTGTGAACTTCCTTGCGGGAGTTAGAATTTGAGCTATGTGAGATTTGGTTCGATTATGCTCCACACCTGATCTTGGGCTTCTATTCACGGGCGAAGACAGGTTCTTGCCCAAAGCATGCCGCTCAAAAACATATCTCCGCGCATGTGCTTGCTGACGCTAATTTCTTTAATTTCGGGTAATGCTTCCGCGCCCGTGTGTTGCCTGGCGGCCTTGTGACGTCATGCGGCCAGCGGCGCACGTGCTGCTGGGCGCCCGCCGTCCGGTGTCGTGCCGAGCCGCTCCGGAGGGTTGCCAGCGGGTCGTTGCCGTGTTTCAGGAGTGCGCCGCCTGCTTGCAGAGCCCGTCTCCAGGATAACACTGATCGCCGGAGCCTGCGGCGGTCTGCTGCTGCTCGTCGTCGTCGTTGCCCTGCTCGTCAACGCATTCAGAAAGGACAAATGGTGCTTCTCCCGTGAGTATGTCTCACGCACCAGCAATGTAACCCGTCTTGCGATACCTTTGGTGTCGTCTGCCCATGTCGGCAAGTCGTCCCCCCTGTTACCTCCACTTTTTGGGTTTTTCGTTTTGTTTTGTTTTGTTTTGTTTGCATTGAAATGTTTTGTTACTATGAATTGTTCTCACGCCATGGTAATTCATTCACTCAATCGTCTATGTTGCATCCCCCGCTCCATGTTGCAGTAATTTTGATAAAAGCATGACCGCTCCCGGATGACAGCTTGCTGGCTTGAAGACGTCTTGACCGATGAAAGAATAACGGAAACAGCTACTGTCTGTTTCAGCTTTTGTAACCCACCCTGCTTTGCAGATAAGGGAGGCTTTAAGCCGACGGACATTGACAGGTAAGCTGTATTGGTTAAGCATGTCGTTTGCCACAACTCAACCTCGCCTGAAATTGTTCTTACTCCTAAGCCGCGATTGTGGTCTGTGTGCCGTCATTCAGATAAGCACTCACTGCGCTCTGTTTCTCTTGAACTAAACCACGTGCACCACGCTGTGTGGAAATCGGTCAGTCAAAGCCGAATCAGAAATTATCAGAAACGTCTGCTGCGATTCCCGTCACGGGGCTTGGCCAGACGACCCAACCTCATCATGCCTGGACACGCCGCCAGCCCTGGGAGCCTTTGCTTGGCCCGTTAGGCCACAACTTTCTTCTCCATGTCGTCGCGTGGTTCTGCAGACCGCTCAGTCGGCCCCAGTTACCCTCATCGAGGACCCACTGCCGCCCTCTGAACGTCTCTGACCTCGCCGCCCTCTGACCGTCTCTGACCTCGCCGCCCTCTGACCGTCTCTGACCTCGTCGCCCGCTGACCGTCTCTGACCTCGTCGCCCTCTGACCGTCTCTGACCTCGTCGCCCGCTGAACGTTGCAGCGAAAAGCGCGAGGCCAACGGTCGCGGTGAGTGTCCGGGCCGGCACGGCCTGGGCGCCATTCCCCCCGACGCGCTGTACACGGGCCCCAAGAAGTCGCCGGCGGGCATAACGGGTGACTACGAGGTGAGCACGCCCACCTGCGTGTAGTACCGGCGTCATCCGCCGGCGGCAGCACCGGGCCGACAAGTACGCACTAACCGGCCGGCGCCGGGCCGCGGCGCCGCCCGCGCTCCCCGCTGGCTCTCGAGCTCCCTCACCGGCTCCCAAGGTCCCTCACCGCCTTCTGAGCTCCCTTGCCGGCTCCTGAGCTCTCTCACCGACTCCCAAGCTCCCTCCCCGGCTCCCGAGGTTCCTTGGCGGCTCTCAAGCTCCCTCACCGATTCCCGAGCTCCCTCGCCGGCTCCCGAGCTCTCTCACCGACTTCCAAGCTTCCTCCTCGACTCTCGAGCTCCCTCACCGGCTCCCGAGCTCCCTCACCGACTCCAGAGTTAAACTCCCCGCTCTGGGGCTGGCATCGGGCATGTATGGAGCCGGCTGGCGGGAGGGCGGGTTGCGCCGCGGCCCGGCGACGGCATTGCATGCGCTGGGACGGACGGATGGGTGATGGTGTGGGGTTTGGGGTGGTATAGAACGGTGGTAGGGTGACTACATTGCCAGGGGTATCTTCCGGTTCATTGGGTGCAGGCTTTTGTGTTTTTCGGCTGCCGGTATGCTGGTGGCTGGGTTCTCTGTGGCCGTTGAGGGCTTACTCACTCCAGATGTACGTTGCAACTGCCGAAGTGTTTTGCGAGCAAGGTTGTCTGACAGTTGATATTAATGCCCCAAAAAACAATACTTCGTGCTGTTCAACTAAAAGCTTTAGCGCATAAACTTTGCTCTAAAAACAAGACTTGCTTTAAGTTTTGACGACACGAATGTCCATCAAGGGACGTGTCCTCAGATGTTAATGGGGAGCAGCGTTCGTTGGTGCGGTCTGGGCTTCACACTTTACAGACAAGGCTACGTTTTTTCAGTACTGTGGTAAAGATGACGAGGTGCGGGAGGCGGACGGCTCCTGGGGCGGCATCATTTACGCCGACCTCCAGCTGCCTCGAGCCTCCAACAACGGCTCCATGAGGAAGTACCGGCACCACGTACGCCGCGGGCAGAGCCATCTAGTGAGCGCGCCACCAACTGACGTCAAACCCACGGAGTACGCCGAGATCGCATTTTCCCCAAGGACAGAGGTGTAGTGCGTGGACAGAGCGGTGCGTTGACGCGTCAGCTGCTCACGTCGGTGATGGCACCGGGTCATCCGGACAGGGGCGAGGGTGCGGCGCAGCGGAGGCGCGCCGAGTCCCCAGTCGCGGGCGCGCCCACCAGCCGACGCGACCACTGGCGCGCAGTTCAGGGAGGTGCAGTGGGCGGGCGCCGGCAGCACTCGCCGCCAGGAGCTCGAAGGCGTGCTGCGGGCTGCGACGGCACCGGACTGAAGGGCACGAGACACCGGCTGCTGTGGCAGGCGGCGCCAGGACTTTTTACCCCTGGACGGTGGCCTGGCCGATTTTGTACGCCACTGTGTGATCTCCGCCGCCTCCTCGTGTAAAATATGTACAAAGCAATAAGTTGGTGCGAGCTTACTTGAAGGCCTGGATGATGGCGTCCGAAGACCATGATTGAGTCAGCAATTCAGCCTCCGGGGCATTGCGTTCACTGTCTGTGAGGGACAGATTGGCGTCCATGTTGGCCTGCAGATCGACTTGTTTCGACTCACACAGAACATACGATCATTTTCCTGTTTCTTGGACATTCTTCGCTGAGAATCCCCAGTGCTATGTTTATATAATGGTCTTGCTTTGATTAAGCTCCAGCAGCGTTAAAAGAGCTTTTAACGTCTGCAGCGCAAATTGAAGAATTGTCAGCCACCTTGGTATCATGGGTTCCAATAATCAATATGTTTGGGTAGATGTATTCCGTGCTCAACTTATGAAGCTGTTTTCATTTTCTCTATGCCAAGGTTAGGCGGTTAGTCGCTAAGTACCAATAATGGATGCTTTGTTACAGTGTCTTCATTGTCATTGTACGCGTTCGTACGTCACCGATTAATTGCCTACGTCATGTCTAGTCCTGAACGCAAGTGTAAGATGTAAAACAGTGTGGCTTTGCACCCTTTGATTTATTTGCATTCTGCCGCATCAACGAACATGCTAATGATTAGCCAGACATTTTTACAGCTATCGCAAATAAGGAGGTGCAAAATAGACGATACGTTTGTGATGTTCTTGTCCTTGCTGCCACACGCAATTATCCGCATCCAAGACATCTCATCGTAGATTCTAATCTAGCAAGAGATCTTCTGGTAAGCATTCAGATCTAATTCTGAGAGGCCAGCTGAATACTCGATAGGATTATCGTGAGCGCGATTCAGGTGATAGCAGGCACAACTTGAATAACTACTATTGGATGCGTATCGCGACACACGTAACATACAGCTGCCATTGGGTACGTATCGCGATACACATAGCATACAGCTGCCATTGGGTGCGTATCGCGATATACATAGCATACAGCCGCCATTGGGCGCGCATCACGATGCACATAACACACAGCTGCCATTGAGTATGTACACATAATATAAATATATTGCGATACACATAATATAAAGCTGCCATTGGGTGCGTATCGCGATACACATAGCATACAGCCGCCATTGGGCGCGCTTCACGATACACATAACATAATGGCGCCAACCTTGATTCTGACAGCAGGTCATAGCAGGACGAAGAAGTTAGGCGTTGAAGGTTGCTGACGCTGTTCGCACCGGCACGCTTATTCACTAGACGGGCGGGAATCAGCGGCCTCCAGCCGGTTTGTCACCACTGGGCCCTCTCCCGGTTCGGCTCCCTGCCGGCTTGTCACCACTGGGCCCTCTCCCGGCTCGGCCTCCAGCCGGCTTGTCACCACTGGGCCCTCTCTCGGCTCGGCCTCCAGCCGGCTTGTCACCACTGGGCCCCCTCCCGGCTCGGCCTCCAGCCGGCTTGTCATCACTGGGCCCCCTCTCGGCTCGGCCTCCAGCCGGCTTGTCACCACTGGGCCCTCTCCCGGCTCGGCCTCCAGCCGGCTTGTCACCACTGGCCCTTTCTCACCTCGCTCTTCAGCCGGCTTGTCACCATTGGGCCTCCTCCCGGCTCGGCCAGACAGTTATAGTTTTACGGAGGGCTATTGAAATGATGGATTACTATCACGGATGAAATAATTGTTCGGGTTATCGTCCCCGTCTGGTGTGTTACGCAACGTTTCGGCTTGCTTATTTTCCGGCCGTCGTCAGGAATCATTGTGTCCTGACATTCTGACACACCAGGCGAGGAGGATGATCCGAATAATTATTATATCTGTAAAATTTACTTCACGCATAATACTGTCTCATTGCAGCCGCCCCTGATCGACGTAAACGAGTATTGGCTGTTTGTGTCATAATATTAGTCGCTCTTTTGTGAAAAAAACACGTCATCCACAAATGTAATGCATAGTAAATACGATAGTTTTCAGTTTCTAGATTAATGTTGATAAATGTGTTTTTGATATCGGGAAGTACGGGCTAAACCGAAAACATATGATGCAATCATTGGGATGCATTATGGGATACATTATAATAAACACCACCGCGTTGAAATGCGTCATATTCTCATGGAGCTTCCCAATGACTGATTTTTCTATTGTCCAGTACCCTGCGATGCATTGAAGTTTGCTTATATTTAATGTATACTCATAATGTTGCCAAACGTTGAGGTAAAATAATTTCTTGCTTACACAAGTACAATGTCCCGCATTTTGTGGCTGCTATCGTTACCCGCATCCCATCATTCCGCACTACCCGTTTGTAAACACCAGCTTGTCAGCATGAAGAAGCGCGTGCCAACTGCATCCTCGGCGCGGCCAGAATTCTCGCCGAAATCGCCCGCCGGCTCGCACGCGACGTGACCAGCTGGCGGAGAAAAGGAGGGAAGGGGGGGGGGGGGAGCGGGATGCTCCCCAGCACTCATTACGGGCGAACGACGCCGCTTGCCGCGATGGTGATAGTCTAAGCACACTTCTGAAGTTTCAATATATCGGTGAGTTGAACGGCACATGCTCTGTATAGTCGCTTTTAAGACTAATAGCAGCATTGACGTAGATGGACAGACCGAAAGGAACGAGCTATTAACACAAATAAAGCTCTTTGTCATATTCTTGCCATGCATGTATCGCTTCGTCCGTACGAGCTGCGGTCCTACACACCTGCAACACAGCGCGAGCGTCACACCCCGGGCTGACTGCTGCTGCCAGCTGCTCCGACATACGGCGGGGAGCGGGCCGGCTCGGCTCGTGGTCGGCCGACTGGGCCATCAGGAGGCCAGCCGACCGGCCAGACACGTCCGCTCGATGGACCAGGCACCGGCCGGGCCGTTCGGAACTAATCAGCCCACCCACTAACGGTCGGCTGGCAGCCGGAAACGGGCCGGCTGGACGGCGGAAGCTGAGCTACTGCACGCAGAGGGCTGCTGCTGGTCGGGACTCCACCACGCAGATGCCATGGTGGCGGGTGGGGGCCGCTGCAGGTCAGAAGGCCACGCGGGTGGACACCACCGCAATTCGGAACATCAGAACACCACACGAGTGGATGCTGCTGCGGGTTAAATCGTTAGAACGGCAGTGTGTTCAGGTGAGAACACTACGCCGGCAAAATATGCTGTAGGTAAGAAAATCACATTGCGAAGTGTGCAGCAAGTCAGAACATGGTACTGACAGGGTTCACCTCTGGACACTGATAATCCTGACTGTATACCACCGCTGGACACTGACAACACTGGCCGCACACCATCTCTGGACAGTGACAACACTGACTTCACATCATCTCCGGACACACTGACAAGATCTTCCTGCGTTCAGGTCAGAAAGGCTAGCTGATAGTTGGTATGCAGACAGAAATCGACCTGCAGTACATCAGGAGGCATTGATTAAACCCTGCTACCAAGCAGCTAGCAAGCATGTTCTATACTGATCGTGCTTTCAATTTTATGAATACAGCCAGTGCTTGCTTTATAGTGATATTTAGCCAGTGCCTCCCGGTATGTTGAAAGTTGATTTTGATCAGATGATGACATGATAAATGTGATTATATGACAAATTCCCGACACATAATGTTTAAAAATCAGCGGCCTTCTTCATTCTATCGAGTGCGTTAGAGCGCCATGCCATCAGTGACTGCCACAGATCAGAATACAGCAGCGGTGGGGTCAGCCGCAGTTCAGAGCACTATACAGTAAGGGTATGCCACAGGCCAGAGCACCTCACTAGTGGGGTTATACAGGAAGGGTGTGCCACAGGCCGGCACACCTCACTAGCGGGGTTTTCCGACGGTCAGAAAATCCCATCGGCAGTCCGCTGCCGGACACAGCAGCACACAGAACATTACGTCGGCAATGTTTTCTGCAGTTCAGAACGCCACACCGGTGGGGTTTACCGTCGGTCGGGACGCCACACCAGTGGGATTTACCGTCGGCCGAAATGACATGCCAATGGGGAATTTGGCAAACGCTATTTTCTTAGGGTAATAGTTTTCCAGATCACATGCCAGCATTATTTTTTTTTTACATTCCACAGCAATGTCTAGGCATGTGTGTGGTCCTCACCCACATAGAAGTCGCGGGTGATCTTGGCCTGGCCGGATGACCTTTGCTCTGTGACCCCGCTATCGCTGACATTTGGTCTTGTCATCGCTTCAGGCTCCCTGGCAAATGGCCTCGAGACGTGACGTCGTACGGACTCTGTTCCACCAGACGAGCCGATATCCATTTCCAACGAGACTGACATTTCGACGCCGCCCTCACGTCAGAGGAAAACGCCGCCTAAAGCTGTGTGCACCAGATGCTGTGCTCCGGTGCTCGGAGCCAGGTGCCTGTGCTGGACTGCTTATATCGGTCAACAGAGAACCAAATGTTGCATAAATTTATCCGGCCTTGCTGGTGACCGCGTAAACACGAAGGCGCGTGTAATTTATTGGTCCCCCAAGTCCCTTAAATCAAGGCATATTGCGTGCGCTATAATAAACAGCTATGGTTTCGGTTTGCCGCAAGGAAACATGACCTTAGCGTTGACAGAATGATATGGCGGAAGGTCACAACCTTTCTGTTTTGGCTGAAGTCTTTAACAGTGCAAATTTAATAATATTTGCGGCTATTTTAAATGTTCGTTGGTATCTAGTGAACGTGTGCGATCAAAATGTCGAACGCATATTGATGATCCCTGAAGATTAGCCAATTATTTTTTGTTTTCCTCCGACCTGTACACCGTGCTACGCCACCAGTCAGGAGCCAACCAGCATGGTCAAGCAGCACTGCAGAGGACCTCTGTGACAAGCAGCGCCCCAGGCTGCAGCCCAGATCGGCGCCACCATATGACGTCATGTGGTGACGCGTGCTGTGCAGCTATGGAGGACATACGGTGTCCACGCTTCTTTACGTATTCATCCGTTGTTAAACACCAGTCGAAACAGCCCCTTACGTACCCATTCTTCGCCAGCACGTGGGCGGTAGAATCGCCTGAATAACTCAAAAGACACAGGGACTCTCACACGCTTCGTACACTGAAATTGGCCTCACTTGCCTGGCATCTTTCAACGACTCGTCCAGAGACCACTGTCTTCTCTGGTCAGGTATAATGACTTCGCATCTTATCAAATGACTTATGCAGAGCGATAGAGAGCGAGGGGGAGGGGAGTAGAGGGAAGAGAGATGGCATATTATAAATGCACGGCTTCGAGTATCAACTCACATAGCACGCACGGAAGCATTGCATGTAAGCGCGGGGTAACCTTTTCACACTCAATTTACAAATAACCAATGTCAATGGGAGCCAGTCAATGTCAATGGGGGCCAGTACCACCAATAATCGTTGAAAGTCAACAACGCCAATGGTATCCAATGATAGATATTGCTGTGAATTAATTTAATTAATTACTTTTAATTGACTACGGTATATCTATGTTTGATAATTGGCTATAGCTGTGGATGTAGGACCTGTCGTGTCAGTGATAGATCTCTTGCCATAGACCATGGCATAAGCTACATGCACACGTCATAGGCCACCGAACGCTCAAGGAAGGGCCTCATCTCTCAGTGGACCAGTTCAATGATTGTTTGATCAGTCAGTTCAAAGTTCTGGAATCAGACAGTCAGACAATAAAGCTGCTCTGGTGAATTGTAATTGGGCTCTTACTGAA